GAGGACAAGAGGACAGAAGGAGGAGGACAGAGGACAGGACAGGAGGAATGACTGAGGGGTATTTAGTTGCAATCTGTCCCAATTCACATGAGAACTTAAATAGAAAGTCCTCGAGTCAAACTTATCCACAGTTTTGCTATTTCAGATAAAACCTTATTTATCGAGAGAGAAATTGCAGTTGAAGTACAAAGAAGGAAAAAGTTAAATTACAAAGACTGCAACTTAAAACAAAATCTAAACAATAAATATTATCAATAAAAAGTAAATATACACAACACCAGAAATCATCCAAGAAATAAACAGAACAAAAGATTTTGTGAACGAAATAAGGTCAAAATTTCCACTTGGACAGAATAAAACATTCTTCCATTCTGTGTTGAGACATTTAAATCACTGTTTCTCTTTATGGATGAAAAACAAATCGAGCCAATCACAAAAATGGGGACTTGGGGAAAAATGTAATAAATAAAGGATCTTCTAGTTGAAGGACATTCGTTTTTTCAACAGTCGTCCAGGAAACGTCTTGGAAATTAGACTAAAAAGATGAGATTTACTGTCTAGTTTACACTCACAGTTTCATGGTGTGGATTATCTGAATCCACACCATGTTGAACAAAGTGAAAATGCACTTTTTGCACCACAAAGGTTGTGGTCGGACTTCCTGTGAGCTGAGGATTCTGAGAAGAGGTCGTGATGGTTAGGTTGTTGCATCTGCAAACATACATGCAGGGCTAGATGCCAACACGGTTCTTCTGACTTGTATCTGAAGAGCAACTTCTGAGTTGACATCGATCAGGTTGCGTGAGTCCAACTTGTCGAGAGTCACGTAGGCTTTTATGACAGACTTGTCTGTGATGCAGGTTATTGTTTCAGTTATGGTTTAATGTGACTTTGAGTTCATCACTAGCTGATGAATAAATGATCAGAAACATTTGCAGCTCACTTCATGTGTTTGGGGAATGAAGCCGTCTGACGTGTTATACCTGTGTGAAAAAAAACTGATTCAGCGAGTTGTGCAAGAAAAACAAATTTAAAAAACATGTCTTCACTCCACAACCGCAGCTCTGTGAACTGGCAGCAGGTCAGAACACCACGACGTCTGCAGCCATCGAAGATGTTCCTCCTCACACGAGTTAGGTTTCTGTTCCAGTTTTTACTTTCACTTTACTCAAAATGAAAATGACAGCTGTTTTGAAAACAAGGTTTCTGTGGGAAGCCACAAAATATGGTTTGGTTGCCGAGAAATCATTGAGCCCTCACACACACACGGTGTGTATGAAAAGTATCAGGAGAATCTTTAAACTTCATTAACCCTGAATTTACATGTTATTTCAGGCTTCCCTTGTGAGATCTACTATGTTTTAAAAGAGCTGGAACAACACGTCACTTTGTGATTATTTACTCAATTAAAAGTACCAATAAAACAATGAAAATAATACTGACAAATAAAAGTCCTGCTTGAGTAAAAGTACACTATCATCAGCTAAAAAAGTACTGGTTGTGCAGTAAAATGCCTCCTACAACTGATATATTATTATTATTATTTTTATATTATAAGTTCTGAAATGATGTTTTTTAATATTTGCTCTTTTGTGAAATGTTGGAGCGCTTCACCTCTTTGAAGCCTCAAACATTCATAAAAATAAAAATAAAAACATTTTTTGATTTAACGCTGATTTAATCTTTAACGATGTGTTGTTGCATTTTCTTGATTCAATTGTCTTCATCTGTAAAGTCACTAGTTGTTATAGTTGGAGAAGTAGATAAATGGAGTAAAAAAGAGAACAAATTGGAAATACTCAAGTACAAGTACATGAAAACTGTACGACCAATATGTTAGTTATGAGCAACACTACTACGATCAAACAGTGACATCATGCTGGTTTCAATACCTCAACTTTATGTATCGTAAAAGACAAGCCAAGACGTATCTGGAATTATAATTATAACCACGTTGTTTTTGTTTGCTTAAAATGGGTCAAATATAAATATGAGTCAGAAATACTGTAACCCCCCCCCCTTACGTTAACGTTTCTACCTGCAGAGTGGAAACTCCCCAAAACGATTGCAAAACAAATCCCCAAACTATCAGAGCAGGAGCAGGAGCATTGTTCTTTTATTAAATAGGGTCTGACTGATCCAATGACTGTGCACGCAGCAACATGCGCTTCTCTTTGTATCCACATACAAATCCAGGTCAACATGCTGCATTGAAGAAGACTTGAAACTAGAGATTGAGACCATAAACTCATGTTTACAATGTTTACTGAGGTAATAAATCAAGAGAGAAGTAGAGTCATTTTCTCATAGACTTCTATACAACCAGAGGAGTCGCCCCCTGGTGGACACTAGAGAGAATGCAGCTTTAACACATGAAGCATCGGCTTCACTTTTCAGATTTTGGATTCTGTTTTTTTTTTAATACTTAATTGAAAGTAGGTCTAAAGAAGTCAAGTGTGTTTTGATGTCATTTTTATAATATATTTATGAGTTATTTATAGTGTAACATGTTTATCGTGGAGTCTAGACCCTTCGTCCACAAAATCTAACAAATTTAAAGTTATTTTTCGTAACTTCAACATAACTTTCTTAACTATGTTCAAGGTGTTATTCATATGAAAGTATTTTGCATTTGGATGACTCTTTTCCTTCCAGAGAACAGATTATTTTTTTAAAAGTCAACAACAACGTGGGTTGGTGCCCGAGGTTGCACAATTCAAAAAGGTGTGAGCAAAAGCAGCAGGCTGAAACAGGATCTTGGCATTCGCACAACACCCACAGCAAGAAATTCCTCCCAAATATGTTCCAAAAATGACGTCCCAATCCTGGAAGTTACAGCCATCTGATGATGATGTGAAGTGTATGAATGACTGCATTATCTGTGTGTGTGTGTGTGTGTGTGTGTGCGTGTGTGGGGACAACTGAATAAAGATTCATTCAAAGTATTTCTCCTCGCTGTAAATTCTCATTTTAAGGTTTTTCTTTTCAATGTTCAGCAACAGATCGAAGTCACCTGGAACACTTCACACCAACACAGGCTTTTTAAATCTTTGTTTATGAGAAGGCGTGTTTTTCATGGAACGGGGAACGGCTCCAAATACTACAATACCCATGAGCCTTTGCCAGCGTTGCTGGAGCTGAAGAATAAGCCAGTGATCACATTTGAAACTTCTGAAGGTTTATTTCTGCAAAGATGAATCCTTTAGCTTTACCATGAGGGACGTTTGGAACAGAATTTGCAGCTCTGCGATTGGTTGTTCCGTTCTGAAATGCATCATGGGAGTCGTAGTTCTCTGCTTCAGTTTTCAGACTTGTGGAAAGTAACTAAATATATTTACTCAAGAGCTGCAGGTCTTCTGAGAAGCGCTTCCTGCTTCTTCTCAGAGGAATATATTCTTATTTTTACTGCTCTAAAGTAATCCGACAGCTTTAGTTACTTCATGATTTAATTTAGGAGTTTGATGAGTCAACCAGTTTCATGTTTATTCAATATAAAAGCAATGCTTACACGATGAATCCGTCTATCTACCAAACAGAAGTCAAAGACGTGTTTCCTGTGCACATATTTCAGTCGTCGCTCCGGCCTCCAGAGGAAATCCTGTGTGTAAAAGAGCTGAGTGTGTCAGAAACACAACATATATCAATATAAACCTCAATGAGGTGCAAATACAAAATATAAACAGGTTGATTATGATCATTTGAAGGGCTAAAGGTGGATCTACAGGTGACTCCGATGGACTGCTTCTACTGGGCCAGAGAGCTTTTAATACTTAAAAATGCATGTTGCAGATAATGGAGTATATACTGTATATATATATATATATATATATATGCACACAAATGTAGAGGAGTAAAAGGTACAGTATTTACTCGAGGAGAAGTAGAAATAAATACTAATCACCTCGTGTGACACAAACACAGACCTGCCGCAGGGTGAGCGTTGATTACATCAGCGCCATCTTGTGGACGCTGAAGGAAACTACAGACCACACAAACACCGCTGATAAAATAAACTTTATTTATAACGCAGAGCCGAACGTTCAGTCACAAGCAGCTGCCGCTCCTTCTTTATTTAGATTCATAAACGTCATGACAAATAGTTTCATCTCTTCTTAACACTGGTGTTCGGTCAAATATAAATATGCTCCTCAGAGATTTATTGAGCAGTTTGAATGATCTTTAGGTTTTGGGTGAGGGGGGTCAGAGGTCAGGTGAGGGAGGGCTTGGGTTGGTATTTCACTCTGTTGAAGTCGTCCACCGTGGTTTCTACCGGAGGCGTCTTCCAGTATTCCTCCAGACCCAACGTCAGACACAGAGCGATGGCCGCCATCTGCAGCACACGTCGTTAAGTTTAGTCACAACTCAGAAATACTTCATCTGTTGGGCTTTTATATTCATGATGTCATCAACAGATACACACGAGTTAAAGAACCTGGAAAGAGTGAATGAGCAACAACCCGTCTGATCAAGAATATTGTAAACTTTTCCATAAACTGAAACCATATAACAAACGTGTTTGCTTCCATAAACGCATGAATATAATATAGAAACTCTGGTACTAAGTATGAACTATGTAGAATAATTCAAAGACTTCTATGAACTTAGATGTTGATGCATCGGTCGTGGCCGGTAGCTTTGTGTTTTCAGGTTGTCCGTCCGTTTGTTTACGTTACCTTCGTCCACGATCGTGAGTTTTAACGTAACGACATAAAGTCCAGAGATTAATACATGAAACACTTTATGATGTTCTACCGTGATGGTGGCGAAGGCTGAAATGATTCCTATCCTGAGCTTGATGGGGAAGCTCAGGTAGCTCTTCAGGATGGGACCACAGGGCTGCAGGTCAAAGGTCAATATTAATAAAACATATACTTAATCTGAAGTAAGTAATATAAATAATAATATTAATGTGATGGTAGTAGAGGGGAAGCATGAGGAAATACAGGAAAGGAAATAAAAAGACAAAACAAAAAGGGAAGATGGACGAGAGGAACGTTAACAGAAAGAAGAAGACAGAAACAAAGAAGTAGAAGAAGAAGAAGAAGAAGAAGAAGAAGAAGAAGAAGGAGGACAGTGATGAGACCCTGTGGTTGGCTACCTCGGAGTGAACCCACAGTTTATCTGAGACCTGTGAGGTCGGAGGCTCACGGCCCACCATCACACAGAGCTCCTCCGAGCTGACGTTACCGGACGGAGAGCTGAGAGACAAACAGAAGAAGAAGAATTAATATTATTATTATTATTACTGAACACAATCGAGACCAAAGACACAAACGCAGAATGAATTAGTCCGTCTTTCCTCAAATGATGTCATTGTTTGTCCAAATCTTCTAAAAGAAAATTCTCAGTTCACGTCATGTTCAGAAATTCTTCCAGAGTCGACGAGCTCAACGCTCTCCTTTACACTCAGAACATGTTGAACTCCTGGAAATCTAGAAATTATTTTTTGAAATTCAAAAAGATCTAATCTCAAAGATTCGGATTAATCGGAGGATTGTCCCAGAAATCCAGAAAGTCTTCTTTCATTAGCGCCACTCCTGGGGCACGCTCACGTGCACTAAAAGGTACGCAGACTGTTTACTCAAAGAGCGGAGAAGCTCTCTATAATCTCTATAATCTAAAGCGACAGTGTTATCTTCAGGATCGTCTTCTCTCTCGTCCCTACAAGTAGTTTGTAAATGTCTACAAACTCATCAAGAAGCTCAGAAGCTCTTTGAGTCTGTCTTGTTTTTCTGTCTCACCTGGGCAGCAGGGCGGAGGCGGGACGTGTGCAGAAACAGGTGACAGGAAGTTGATTTTCCCAATCCTTAAAACTCCTCAAACCACAGCACGAGTCCTGAGGAACAGACGTGAACAGATGAACTTCATGTCAAATTAAATGAAAACAAAGATATGTAGCGATCTGAAACTGGATGACGACTCGTCACAACTAAATCCTGAAAGCTTTTATTTCTTGAGCAGTGAATAATCCACAGATAAACTGTGATAATCGTGATGCACCGGATGTATTTTGGGCAATTTTCCTAATTCTTTGACATATTTAGTTCTTTGCTGGTAGTTTGTGTGAGAGAGAGATGGAGGATGGATGAAGAGCATTTTGTTTGTTTTTTAGGAGTTGATCAGTGAGTAAAATAGTGAAAACATTTCTATACATATTTAACAGAGCTAACAGGCTAGGCTAACAGCACCAGGAGGAACTGAAACCATGTTTTACCGCTCAGGACAAACATTCCTGCTTCTCTACGTCGTGATCGCTGCTCTGATTCATTCTATTGTTTCAATCCTTCGTGTCTCTTACGGAGGCCTGGAGCTTGTTGAGTTCATTCTGGATGTAAAGCTCTGCTCTGTGGAGCGGAGTGACGTTCAGGAACACCTCGTCCACCGCACCGCTCATCTGCAGAACACAGAGCAACACAACAGTAATGTAGTCTTTAACAAATCAGCCACTAATCTGCTTTCAACATCTGTGTAAATAGAACATCTGTAATTAAGTTTGTTTGCTTATGGTTGCTTACTCACATGTAAAATGTAGATGATACTCAAATGAACATGAATACTCTCTAATAGCTGGGATCATAATGATTTTGGAAGCTAAAAATTCGGTCACAGGCAAAGACAAGTTGACAAAACGTGCTCTGAAGAAGAAGTGTGCTGCCTAAATGTTCCTCTAGGGGGCAGCAGTGGCTTCTAAGAATGGATTGCAGAGTAATAAGTGGGACACAGACTCAGGTAGACGTACCTGAGCTTGAACCTGAACCAGCGGAGAGGCAACAACCATCACAGCCACAAACTCCACGAATATCAGAGCAGAGAACTGGAGGAGATAACGGCAGGTTAGCTCCGCCCCTGTGTGTGTGTGTGTGTGTGTGTGTGTGTGTGTGTGTGTGTGTGTGTGTGTGTCTGTGTGTGTGTTTCTCACCAGCATCAGCAGAGGTTTGAGGTCGAAAGACGCAGCACAGATACCCAGAACAGACAGAACCACAGTGATGGGCCCGAACACCTGCAGGACCAGTAAGCCATCGCTGCTGGACAACTGCTCAAACAGCTGAGGGAGAGGGAGACTAACTGAATCTGAGCTAACATGCAGATCTTATTTTTTACTCAAAAGCACTTAGGAACAATAGGAAAATAATTCAAAGCTCTGTAATTGGATGCTTTATACAGAAATGCACCCTGGGAGTCGTAGTTGCGTTCTCCCTGTCAGATGTTATGTCCAAAAGCTTTAACTTTTTATTTTAAATTATTATTATTGTTATTATTTGACAATACATTCTTAAATGTGCTATTTAAGTTTCATGGATTTATGATGGACAGTTTCAAAAAAGGACAAAAAGCATCAAAATCGAACCCTCCGGTTCTTTAAAGTGACGTCAATGCTTCATGTGTTAAAGCTGCGTTCTCTCTAGTGTCCACCAGGGGGCGACTCCTCTGGTTGTATAGAAGTCTATGAGAAAATGACTCTACTTCTCTCTTGATTTATTACCTCAGTAAACATTGTAAACATGAGTTTATGGTCTCAATCTCTAGTTTCAAGTCTTCTTCAATACAGCATGATGTTCATTTAGTACATTATGGTCCATTTAGAGTCACATAGACCATAAAGCAGGGGATGCTTTAGGGGCGGGGCTACACAGTGATTGACAGGTCACTCCTCTGCTTTCCAAATATCAAAACATCAGTCCACAAACCACTGAGTGACGTCGCTATGACTGTGTCCACTTCTTATATGCTGTCTATGAGCAGAACCAGAGATTTTTTCATTCCGCACTTTGTTCAACTTTGTCAAAACCTGAGGCCTACATTACCCACAATGCAACTGCTGACAGTTCAGTCACAGATTCAGGTGTTATATATTTAAAATCATATCTTTACAATTTCAATTATATCTCGAATGTTTCTGATTATATATTATTGTTATTGTTATATATAAGATCAAATATATATTTATTTACATCATTTATTACCGCCATGTTTTAATGACATTGTAATGGACACATGTTGATCTATTTCTTTTCTATTTTAGTCATTTCATTGTCAGATTTTCCTCCTAGTTTAATTTAAGAAAGACATTAAAATGCTAGTTTTATATGTTATTTATGAAGTGTATCACCTAATTGCTTAATCCCTTCTCCAGTAAGGTAATTATGTTGCATCTGGTTTTTGGAAGGAAAAGGTTGCTTAAACAACAGACCAACAGGCGGCACACGGCAGTAAAACTTTAATGGTTTTTGGGGTGAAACACACACACACACACACACACACAGTTACCTGAGCAACCGGTGTGTTGCCGTCGATGGAGGAAAATCCGACGCCAATCATCACCACACCAGACACCTGCAGAGACGTAATGGAGTCGGATTAAACTGCTGTAGCTGAGTGTTTGTTGGGAGGAGGAAGTCTTTAACAGCAGCAACATTCCTGTGAAACTGTTGTGTTTCCCCCGAGAGACGCTCATCAGCCGTCCGTCTCACAGTCAACAGAAGAAACATCAGAATGTTCCTCACTTTAACGTTTCCAGGCTCCAGCAGCACACTTCTCACACTGAATCATTTTCTTGCAACAAGACCTCATCTGAACTGAATGTGTTTTTGCAGCTACTGTACTTTAGTTTCAAGTTATTTGTCGTCATAGCACAACAATTTCAGAGATAAATAGAATAATATATATATATTTAAGATGTAAAGAAGTTGTAAAAGGTAGGTAAAAGTAAGTAGAAGCTCAAAAGTTAAATACAACAGCGAATAAAAGATAATGATATGAATAGATTATTAATGTTCTATGCTTTCATAATCATCAAACACATAATGCAAATATTTGTAAAACAAACGACAGCAAAAAAAAAAGAACAGCAATAATATAAAATAATAAAGTGACATATATATATATATATATAAAACAAACTACAGCATTTAACACAAACTGTTTTTCAAACCTTTTTCCCAGAGGAGTTCATATTTAGATACTAATCTAATCAACAACACAGGAGTCAAAACAGGAAGCAGAAAAACAGCCACATCACAATAGAATACTTTCAGTATTTCTGTGTTACTAAGATGAAACATATTAGAAGTTTTTAATAATATTTCATTTTCAATATTTTATTATTATTGTGAAAAGAAATGACTGCAATTGTAGGTGCTTTATAGGGGAAATATAATATAGAAATGATAAAAGAGAAATATTGAAAACGAGGAAACATCTTAAATAAAGTAATTACCACAAAACATTTTATTTACAAGCAAAGATAAAGAGCTAGGTTTGAAGATTGCATAACGTTCTGCACAAATATTTAAAAAAGCATCTAAAAACATTCTCAGTCAGTCAGTGTGAGTTATCAGACAGTCACATAAAGCGGTGCATCATCAGTGTAGCATCATCACAGTCA